GCCTATTTTTGGGCCCACTCATACAAAACATCTGGATCATCTTCTCTTTAATAATATATATATGACAGAGGTAGGACTACTCACTTTGATGCTCCTTACCTCATCCTGAAAGTCAACAAAGTAGAGTGAGCAATAACAAACTTTCCCAAAAAATGAGTTATGTTGTACTGATTACGTTCTAAAAGTTTCCTGTGTTGTTTTTGTCCGATGGGTTGCTATCTTTTTTTTTTCCCGCTTACTGTTCATGTGAAGATGCTCTGATTATCCATAGTTATAACACTTTTCTAAACCTATTAAGCAATGCCCAAAATTCATTTTGTCACATTTTCACAAACTAGCCCTTCTGACTGAGACAACTTTTGCCTACCTTCTGATTTAGTTTTTTTGCTTTGAAATTCTACCTTGCCGAAACCTTTTCTCTTACTTGAGTTTGTCACCGCTGACTAGAGAAGGTAAACTTGTTTTCAATTCATCTGAATCTTTCTGCTAGCTCTAAGAAATCACTAATTTTGAATGGCGTCAAAAGTCAACCTAAGCTTATCTCTGAGACCGCATAGAAATCCATTGCATTTATCTTTTTGGGTACTGACATAGTGAAGTGCATATCTAGAAAGAGAAGTAAACTCCGCCTCATTACATAACCGATCTGGTCCCTTGAGTCAGATTGAAGAATTTATATTGCTGTGCTAATCTGGTTGAAGGTGGAATGAACTAATCCTTAAAGTCTAAAAAAATCATCCCACTGAATCTGTGGAAGAGGCTTTAAGTGAAATTTTTCTCTATGCTACGTCTACCATCACATCGCAGCCTCGCCTTCTAACTTGAAAGTGGCTAGCACCACTTTTCCATTTTTCGGATAAATTATACCATCTAGAAAATTTCAAATCATTAATAGCCAATCATGAAACTAAGTGAGTTGGAGAAAAAAAGAAAAAGCTAAGGAGATTCATAATTTAGGTTTTAAACTTCGATATTATGGTAAGAGTCGCATTAGAAATGGTGTAGGTGTAATTATAGATAAGAGTTTGAAAGATAATGTTGTAAAAATTAATAGAGTTGGAGATAGAATTCTAGCCGTTAAGATTATCATTGATACTAAGATTTTAAATATTGAAGATAATGTTGTAAAAATTAATAGAGTTCGAGATAAAATTATTGCCCTTAAGATTATCATTGATGCTAAGATTTTTAATATTATAAGTGCTTATGCTCCTCAAGTAGGTTTATATACAGGGTCTAAAGATAAATTTTGGAATGACTTAGAAGACTTAATACTAATGATACCTCTTGAAGAAAAAATTTTTATTGGAGGAGATTTAAATAGACATGTCAGTAGAGTGGTAGAAGACTTCAGAAATGCTCATGGTTTTGGAGTGACTAATAAAGAAGGTAGAACTATTTTAGATTTTGCTTTAACGTATAATTTTGCTATCACTAATACTTTATTCAAGAAAAGAGATGAACATCTTTTTACTTAAGAGAGTGGATCAAATAAAACACAAATTGATTATTTTCTTATGAGAAGAAGAGGGTCATTCCAAGTGAAAATTTAAGTACCCAACATCGTTTATTAGTTCTAGATTTTAAAATTAAGAGTTGTAAAATAAAGAATACTAGAACTCAATATCGTAGAATTAGAGGGAAAAACTTGAAAGACAAATAAAATTATTTTTATGAATAAAATTCAAGATTTCAAAATTTGGAATGTTCATGAAGGAGCAAATGTTATGTGGGATAAAATAACAAATATTATTAAATAAGCAGCAAAAGATGTGCTTGGAGAATCAAAAGAAAAAGTTTTTATAAATAAAAATAGTTGGTGGTGGAATAATAATGTGCAAGAAAAGATAAAATATAA